CCTCGGGGCCGGCCCCCGCGCCCCACGGCGCCGGAGATGGGGCTCCACCTGCCGACCCTCCCCCCCGCAACACACCGCGTTCGGTTCGGGTTTGGGTTGGTTTGGGTTTTTTTGTTTTTTTTAATATTATTAATAATACTAGGGGGTTTCTTTTGTTGCCTCCCCTTTCGACTAAGGTGGGACGGCCCCTGCGGAAAGCGGGAGAGCGGCGGCCGCTGCCCCACGTCCTTGGCTGCGGTGGGCAGGCCCCTTCGCGCTTCGTGGGAAACGCGCGCGAGGCAGTTTTTACTAGAAATCTATTTTACGCGCTATTTTAAGGTCAACATGTACCCGCTTTCGTTCTCCCTCAATTTGACTAGATGGAACATCATAACAAAACGACCCCCTCCGGTTCCAGAACACCCATTAAACCTTATTTAAAGTGTTTACTCCCAAACCTTAACAAATACAGTACTTTACTTGACTAATTTGGGAGTTTCGGAGTTTTGACTTTATCCCTTTCCAGAGTCTCTTTCTAATCAACTCTTTAGAATGAATTAGGAAAAGCATTTCTGTTTCTTCCTTTAAATAAAATCTTCCCCCTCTCCCCAAGTAACAGCAGGGAAGCTCACAAAAGCAGGGCAAGGCAGGCAGCATTTCCAAAACTCGATGCCTCTTTCACAGCGTGGTAAGAAAACAAGCACTGATCTTGCGCAGCACAGTACATAACCAACCGTCCGGGAGCACGCTGGTGATGGAAGGAGGCTCACTATAGCAATCAGCGGACCCTGCACCCAATTTGTTTTCCTCCAATCGAAGTCAGCATGCTGGCTGAAGGAAGGACATCCTGTGATGATGGCATACAATGTCCTGTTTGTTTATTATTAAGAGCATTCCTGCTTCTCATTACAAAACAACCAGTTGCCTTACTTCCTTCAGTGGTCCTGTCTCTTCAGCGACGCGTCCTCGGGCTCAGAGGAACGGTGATGCACAATTCCATTTATAGCCATCTACAGCCCAGTGAGAACACTAGCTGCTTCACTGTGAGGCAACCCTACTACTTTTCCTTTCTCACACGTCTGCAAGCATATTTCTCATCGCTTTCCCGGCACTTTACGTGACAGCTAGTTTCAGATTCTTCTTTTAAACACTCGCGCACTTATATTTTGGGGTGATCTGGGTGTTACGTATTTCTTCACAGGAAAAAGGGAGAAAGAGGGAAAAAAAGGTTTTATGCAACTGGATGCCTGTCTGTCTCTCTGACGGGTGTACACACATCTCTTTCCCTTAACCTGCTCCTCCTCCCTCTGATAAAAAGATGTGTGGAAAGGATTACTTGCCATTTTCGGTCTGCGATGCTGAGAATAGTATATCTGTGTAAAGACCTTCCATATGCGCTAACACAGGAGGGCTCATGGCAGCAGACGTTAAGTAGGGCAACTGCTTGCAAGTGAGTGTCCTGGTTTAACTTCCACCACAGCGTAATTCCACAAGAGAGGTGTCCTGAGCACTGGGCTGAAGGATATACATGTAATTGGATATACCTGGTAAAACCAAGGCACATCCAAAACGAGGTCTAGGAAGGCTCTGAAGTAGGAAGAACCATTCATTAAAGGAGAGAAATCCGGCCTACTTGATTGGGTTAATTAACTGATGCTGAGTCACACCGCATAGAACAGAAAAACAATGTAGTCATACTGAAGGTGATTATTTTACCGAAAAATAGTCTCACTCTGAGAGGCAGCTGTTTCAGAGCTTTTCACTTCCCTGTTAGCTTAAAAAAAAAAAAAAAAAAAAAAAGGGGGTGGTGGTGTAGAAAAAAGGGTTGATGTGTTTCCTTCAGGGGCTGATCTTCTTAATGTGAAGGAGAGAAGGAAAAAAGCAAATCTGCCTTTCAAGGAACTGAGAACGCTTTTGGGCTGGAGAAGAAGAGGAAGCAGAGATTAGATCAGATCAGATGAAGTGAAATATTCGTCAGGACAACAGGAGGATGCCAATATCCCAGGTCAGTGCAGCTCTCTCCTGGGAGCCTGGGGAGGCAAGTATAGCCTGTGAAGCCTACGGACTTCAAATAACTCCGTGGCACACTCTGAGGCTATCCTGAAATTAGCTCCAGGTGTCTCAGCAAAGCTGAGCCCAGAACTACTGCAGCACAGGAGAAAGGATTTTGCTGGTGTGCAGGTCTATCCTAACACTGTCTGATCTGAAATAAAACTTAAGTTTATCAAGACAGAAGAGACAGAAACAAATTGTTAAGAATGTGTCCTAAAGTAAGAATAATCACAAAGGAAACTCTGCCATTAAAGAAATATATAGACTGACCTTCTGACCTTCCTCCTTAATAGAGAAACATAAAAAGACGCCCTGTTCAACCAGAAGTTTTCTGCTCTTTTATAGAAATCTTTCATACCAGTAGCTGCTATTGTCTGGAATGTGCAATTTCAAAATGTTGTTCATTTCAAAAAGAACATTTTTAGTCATATTTTCATTTTTTCCTTCTCACTCATAGAAAACCTCAATTACTGTATTAATCAGCATTTCTCAGGCAGCTCTCTCTGCAGCAGCTTTCAGCCTGGCAACAAATCATGAATGGCCCTAACAGCTCTGATCTCAGAAATCCCCATCCATTTCCTTTGATGCTATCACCACTTCAGCTCAACAACAAGCCTGCGCAACTCAGCCTCAGCTGCTGCTGCTGCTGTTCTCCCTGCGCCTGCTGTAATTGTAAGGGGAAGAAGTAGGGAAGGGAGCTGGCTCTAATAGTTAATAGTTGAAACTTCTTTAGAAAGTTGGAGGAGAGATAAAATGCACACAAGAGATTAAAGCAGAGTCTCATTTTCACATCCTCCCCTTCCCCTTACTCAAACAAGGTCAGTGGCAGATTGACCACATCAAGAGTAACTACCAGACCCACCCCCATTTCCCACTTCCTGCATGTAGGCATCCTTGTGCTGGTAAACATTTGGGGACCAGTTGTGGTCATTACTCGGAGAAGGTACATGATGTAGTTGCACGACTGCACATCTTTTAAAAGCCAACTGAGAAATCAAACTCAAAGAAGAACTTGCTTTCAAGTTCTGCTGAGATACACTCGTGTTTTGGGGCCATGTTTCTGAAAACGTGGTTGCTGTCAGATTCAAGGGAGAGAGACCCAGCACGCTCTAGTGACTGCAACAGGAAAAGTTACAGCCTTCTTCTCACAGACTGGCCTGACCTTTGCAAAACACAGCCTATAGGCTTCAGATACCATCTCAGAGGCTTTGTATGCCCTAGACAACTTTAGCATAGTATTGCCTATAAGGAGAGAAATTAAAATTGCACTTGAATCTACATGAAGGTTTTTGCAAGGGCTTTTGGGGTAGTGTATGTTGTAGCCAGGAGGCTTTTGAATTAACACGTGCAACTTTCAGGGACTGCCTTTAATTACAGAGAACCCTGGTCATTGCCTCGTAACACTTCCAAATGCCTTTACATTTATTTTTGTCTCAGCTGTGCAATACCCAGAGCCGATCTCTTGGCTGCACTCTCGGCTGTTACTTAGTGCAAGCCTTAACATCTCTTGACTTCTGTTGTTTCAACCTCTCAAGAAATTTTCCTTAAAAAGATAAAAAAAAGAGTTAAACTAAAACAACCATACCCCTTTTTGTTTCCAGCTAGGCCTTATTAAAATACTGCTCAGATGACTTATGAATAAGCCCAAACAACCCTCCTCCAATGGAAAAAACATTCTTGCAGCACACAGAAGCGAGAACTAAGCTTCAGCCATTTCCTCTTGTTGAGCTCGAGTTTGAGAAGGAGCCGAGGCTGTCTGGGCCTGCTATCAGAAGAGCGAGAAGCCACTGTGAGAAGGTGGACTTCTCTTTGCTGTGAACACAGCTGAAGAGCAAAGACAAAACAGTCTGAAGCCGCTCACTCTCTCTTTCCCAGGAAGCAAGCTGGGGTGAAGGTATTGAGAAAGCAGCAGCATAGGCTTTGTCACTGCACTTCTCTTCATTGTGGGAAAAGGCAGCAGACTGGACTTCATTGTGGGAAAAGGCAGCAGAGTCTGGACTAAACATGAAGAGCCACCTCCTTGTTCCTTATGAGAAGGGAAATGCCTCACAGCATAGACCACAGATGTTCCCCTCTTGGTTACCATCAGCCTTCCCATCACATTTCTGAGTGACAGTGGTCTTGGGAAAGGCAGGGATGACAGCCAGGAGCCCATACAACAACTCTTGTATTATCTTTGCGTGTTTCTACCAGCCCAAGTTTATATTGGACAATAAAACCTGAGCACAAAAATCAACCTTCCACATCCCAAACATGGGCTTTTTAATATTCTGTCCATAGCAACCGAGTCTCAGGAAAAATGAATGAAAACAAACCAACCCATTCCAACCACTTTTCAAACTTCCTGGTGACAGAAACCTGAAAAAAGGGTGTGCTCTGGGAAATTTTCCTTTAAAACAGGCTGATTTCCAGGCTGTTACAGATGAGGAATGGGATGCTATACATTTATTAGAAGGCTCACTCCTGCGAATAGTTCAAAGACATCATCTCCGCAACAAGCTCACAACAATCTGAAATAACAAAGCCACATCAGAACTAATTGCATTCATTCAACTTCCGTTTCTCTTCCCAACTTGGCAGTCATGACACTTTTTGGCATATTCTTTCCTCAACCTGCCTGGTAAGACACAGTGATATGAAGCACCGGGAAACTTCAGACTCTGTTCCTGCACAATTCCATTTTCATTTCAGATACTCTTCAGGCTGCCCAATCTCATGGAGCTGATGAACACAGCAGAAGGAGGGGGAGATCCATGGGTGGAACCAAGCCACTTTTCTCAGACAAAGAACTGGCCATGGAGTGCATTTCAAAACAGATTAACCAAAACAACAGCTACACACCATGACAAAGCACATATGGTGGAAACGAAAATATTTACCCACAGATTATCACAGATCCAGCAATGCGACTACCGTGCATCTAGGACTAAAGGATTTGAAATAGTGACTGCATGTTTAATGCTGACTAGGGAATCTGGCAGGAGTGGACTGAAGGACCACTTTTTAAGCTTCTAAGAGTACAGTTGTCATTTCTTCACCTTTCCTACCCCAGGGTGGTGAAATAACAGTCTTTTCATACCTGTGTGTTGGCTGGGGGAGGGAAGAATTCCTCCGCTATTAAACACAACTTCTCATTAAATAGTTGACACCTTATCCTTCTTTAAATGTTGTAATGTTTACTTTGCAAAACCCAGGAAAGCTTTTAAAACAAAGATAGCAGAGGGATTCTTAAGCCGGGTGTCCTTGCTTATCTGCTCTTTATCAACCAGCTATTGTTCCTGGAGGAGCTCGTTGGGGAAGGTGGAGCAAAGGGGGTTAATGTTCAATAGGTATCTATCAGTTCCCCTGAAGGAATAGGGCTGCTGACAGAAGAGCAACACTGGGCTCTCAGCTACTTCCTGCAGAATGTGACAAACCAGAGAGAAAAAAAGATAAGAGGAGGACTGAAGCTACTTTTTTTTTTTTCCTCTGTGTGTCCGTCCCCGTCCCCCCCCCCCTCCCCTTTCCCTCTCCCAAAACAACTAGTTTTAAGAAAGACATTGTCCTTAGGAGAGATAATCCCACAATAGAGAGTCCATTAGAGGTATTAAAGCATTGGCAGCGCCTGATCTACAAGAAGGGCTCTGTCCTGACAATAGACAATTAAAGCTGATAAATCTGCACTACTTGTTGCCGTTCTAATTCCTCGTAATTGTATGCTACTTGTCCCTGCCTCCTGCGTCCAGGGATGAAGCATGCTTCTTTAATCTCCAGAGTACCTGACCTAGTTCCTATGTGGTCTTTTCAGGACCTGTTTTCTTCCCATCTGGACTTCTTCCCTCCCACTCTCCTTTCTTGCTTCCCTCCCCTAAGCATTAAGAAGGGGTTACGATAGAGGGCACAGAAAACACCAGAGCACAGCACCCGGATCAATAATTCTGGAGCCCCAGACAATGCACTAATCTGCAATAACAGCTAATCATGGTCAATTTGGCACACCAGTGATTAAACTGTACTTTTCATTAGGCTCAACAAGTAGAGCAGACGCACACTGACAATTCAAATTGCCCTATCAGTAAGAGCTGCCAAACACGTGTGCGCTTCTGTGTTTGTAGCTGCTGCATCACTAGTCTCGCCAGACTAGGCGCTTTGTGGGGGCTTATCTTTTTTCTTTTGGCGTTTTACAGACTGGGACTCTTAGCAGGGTTTTCTATAAAAAGCAAGTCCCTGCCTCACTTTACTAACATAAATTCTCCTAGTTAAAGGGCTCAGTGGGTGAAATTGTGATGTGATGCGCTGTGCAGGATGCTGAAAAACGATTGTCAAAATTACATGTTCCCTCCTGGTGCTGACAAGATTCTTGGTTTTAATTTACATCTCTCAGATATTTGGTGTTTTTCTCAAATTTCATTTTTTCTTTTTTTTTTTTTGAAGAAAGCTTGGAAGCCTGCTGGTGACAGACCAGAAGCATAAAAATGTGCATCACAGGACTTAAAAGATGGAAACCAAGAAAAAAATTACCTTAGATCTATTTATTTTTAAAACCAAACTTTTAGCCAACCTCACAAAACATTTGGAGACTGAAGAATGGTTTAGATTTTCTTTTTTCACCCCTGAACTTGTGAACAAGCCACTACTGTGTCCACCTTAGAAATCTACAGTTACTAACCCTTACATGGCATTTTGATAGTGACCTTCCTGTCACCCTCATAGAACAATTTCTTCTGGTTAGAATCGTACCTAGCGGACCCTTTTGGCAAATTGCCCTGCAAGCCTCACCCAATAGTTTACCACAATCTTTCTCTAAAGCACAGCACCAAATTCCAGGACTCCTTGAGACCGACCTCACACACTCAGGGGTCTCCTTCTGTTTAACTTTAGTTTATCATCTTTGTATTAACTTGAATAAGGGTTAAAACTGCACTCCAAGTTGCTCTTAAAAAAAAAAAAAAAGGAAAGGGGGGAAGAGAGTGTGAGACTGTGGAAGATGTCAAACGAAAGTAGGAAATGTCTATTCTACTATTAATATTAATGAATCCCTAATGCATTTACAACCCACTTGAGGTAAGTCAGTAGAGTTCTCCTTCTGACAGCTATTCCTCATCAAACTACCACTGCTGAAGATGTTGATGCTTTCCCTTTTGCTTTGTAATCTTTAAACCAAGTTTAAATCACACCAAAGCCTACCACAAAATAATGTATTTTATCCTAAGTGAACACAAAGCCCTGGAGGCAGAGGTTTAAAACACCGCAGATGTCCAATTTATCATTTTAAGATAGGAAGCTGCTGCAACAAACAAAACACCTCCTTGAAAGTGGGACAGCAGCAGATTGCGGTACAGAAAGCTCTGGGATCTTTTGTTTTCCTGGAGAGCAACAACGGGGCTTTGCAGAGAAAGACAACAGCCTCCCCTTGCTGAAATCTAAATCAGTTCTTATAGGAAAGCCTGCCAACTGCTAGATGGTAACGAAATATTGCAGATAATTCACTTTTCATGATAAAGTAGGAACAAGCAGGCATGCAGCACCCAGCAGGGGCTCAACTGATAAAACGGTGTCAAACTCAAACCATTTGTCAATTGGGCGGGATGAGAGCAAGCTGAAAGATGGACTCAGGAAGTAGATTTATCTAGTGCGACACATTAACTAGTATAAATACTAAGGAAAAAGTAAACACATTTACCCAGCAGTATCTCCAGCCAGCAAAGAAAAGGCTTCTGAGCCTCAGACCCACACTGGCCACCTAACTCAGCTGTCAGCTACAACAGCAGTAGCATTTTTCTTCCTGTGCAGGGCTGCAATGCCATTCAATTCATGGTGCTAAAAGGTTTTATTAAAAGCGTACATTATAATTAAGCAAAACAAAAGCGTGACTCCTCTGCTGTTCTACTCTCCTCCCTCCACCCAGCAGCCAAAACAATAAAACCACATTGGCAGCAAACAAGTCAGGTAACATACCCCAGAGAAGAGCACGGATTTGTTATATGATCATTTACTTTGCGTCTGGCTGGCTCAAAACTGCCTTATCAGAAACTTGTCCCGGAGACTCCCAAGGCAACAGAGGGGGCTGACAATGCAGGTCAGGCACAATAAGTGGCCAGCAGCGTAATGTGGGGCACACAAACAAACCAGAATAATGCAGGGCAGAAGGACTCTTTCGATGTATGCTTGCCATTGGAAAGTCTAAACAAGTAACACAGTTTGTGGGCAGCACGTCTGCTGCAGTCACCAGGAGGAAGGAAAACGCTTCAAAGGGATTTAGGATACCAACTCGCAACTATATGCATGCACCTTGTCCTGGCAACCCATAATATCAAAGGATGGCACATCACATTGTTAAACCATTCTAACGGTCTAACACAAAACTCAAAAATTAACAGCAAAGTAAGTAATCTGGATCATGCCTGCCCCCCGAAGGAGTTAATTCATAAAGCCAAATACAGCACAGTTCTTTGTTCAGCTGTACCTTCATGTGTCCACACAGCACAGGTTCCCCACCTCCAGCTCATGCATCTCAGGATTTTAGTCCATATGGAAAGTCTGTCATTCACTCTCACACCCTTACCCACACGCACGCATGCTCAAACACCCGTACACACACACCACACCCGCGCTCTCGCTCCCCAACACACACTGCCTGGAACCGCTCCGAGGATTTTAGGATTTCCTCTTGCTAGCAAATTCCTCCCTCCCCTTGCATCCACTCCACCCCGTTCTGTAATTAGGCTTAACAAGAGCAATTAACAAAACAAACTCCTCTCCGCCTGGTGGCCTGATAATTCTGATTGTCATAATGTATTAAGATGTGTAAGCCAGTTTAAAATAAAGGTAAATTACAACATTGCACAAGAGTAATTTTGCACCTATTTTTACTGCTTTTATCACAGGGATAACGAACATTCAGCCACGCCTTTAATTTAAAACACAACCCCCAAAACTTGCATCTGAACAGCAGAACTCAAAAGCGTCTCTTTTGGACCAATGAGACTATTTTGTTTTTTTACTAGTTTATTAGAGTGCAGCTCCCTCCTCCTAGGCACAGCAAACTCCATAGAAATGTATTTTTATTTTTGGAATTACTTTGTGACCCTAAAAATCTAAGATGTAAAATCAAGTTTAAATACATCTTCTGGCTTTACAGACGTCCATGAATAAGTAAATCGTAGTTGTTCCTTTTGCCCTGCCTGGTGTCTAATGGCATGACACAGGAGACCAAAGTCTCAAATTTTTTCTGATGGTTTCTCCATCCACTTTCAGATCACTTTCCTTCAGCAATCAAATCACAGAAATTTAGTGTCAGAATCATCAAAAAACCAACAACTGAGGAGTAATTGATTTCAGGTGGTCAGTGGAGAAACTCTGATGTCCTTTGATTTCAGTGAGCTATGGGTCCAACCCACACAGAAAATTTACACACAGCCTGGATTCAACTGGAAAACATCTAGTTCTTGTCCTGCTTATACACTCTGTGAGTGTGTAATTAAAACTGTCAACATAAAATTACTAAACATATCAAAATCACAAGCACATAGAAAATTCACGAGCAGAAGAGAAGACCAGAAAATAAAACCAATTCGGTATATGACACATATTTGAGTTCATATGAACTGAAAAAACATTCTGCTCTCTCAAATATGTATAACCTGATTCACAATACCATCTGCCAACTAACCACAAACAATTAAAAAAAAAAAAAAAAGGAAAAAAAAAAAAAAGCTGGTGTATTGCTGGAATCCTGCAGTTTCTGACAAGCTAGATGTGTTTTTCTAAGTCAATGATTTCATCTCTGCTGGGTGTCAACATTTGCACAAGAATAATTTTGGGGGTCAGAAAGACATTAGCAAATGAGATTTCAAAAGGTTTCATAAGAGCACAGATTGCTCAAACACAGGGAAAGGAGGGTTTCAGCTTCCAGAAGTTCACTCTTCTGCTTCTTCATTCCTCCTTCCCTGAAGCTGAGTCAAAGTTCTGTAAAAATCTACAGCAAACCATCAGATTTGCAAGAAAACAGCCTCACATAAAAAGCCACATGCTTTGCAGTGAGACAAATGCTCCAAAATGACTGAAAGTAGAGACTGTTATGGTGCAAGATCAGGCACTCTTTCAAATGGTGAGAGATGCCAGGTGTAGAACTGCATACAGAAACTCAGCTCTGCACTCCTGGCATATGATGCACCATCTTTTTTTTACACCAGATCTCTTCCTTGTTCAGTGTTTAGAAAGAAGAGTGCTGACAAAAAAGTCATTCTTCCATATATCTTCTTTCTCTCTAAAAGGCCCAGTGTCTTACTTTTATCACAGACCACTGAAATGGAAGACAAACCAATTTTGTCTTGTATTTTTCTACTTTGCTCTTCACAACAGCAACACTTGAATTGCTCACCAATATCAAATAGTGACTAATCTTATTTCCACAATACCTCCCCCATATGCTGATGAAGGTATTATTGCTATTCTCACTCTGCAGAAGGGGTATGGAGACACAGTGACATCAGCATCAATATTGTACATTAATTTTGGGATGCAGAGCAACCAATTTACTCAGCATGGCGTACTATTCTCTATGTTCAAAGCATTTTTCTTCCTGGCATCTGTGATGGCTCTGTATTTTGCAGGGCTTCACATCAGGCACCCAGGAAGATGTCAAAATTAATGACCACACGCAAAATGCTTTGCTGAGGTGAACTGGCATGAATCTTCAGAAACATGGGCAGAAATAATACCTGGTTCCTCAGAGCAAAGCTCACCTGTCCTGAGAAAAGCGACGCTTCCTCCTACCATGGCCCTTTTACTTCCTTACGCTGCAGCGAATGAGATGGCGGGAAGAGGTGTGTTAAAGATAACATTTTATTACACCACCCCAATTCACCTCCCCTAGCAAGCTTGTCTGATGCCTGAATGAGGCAAGTAAGCAGTAGAAAAAACAGTAATTAAATAAGTAATTAAAGACTGTATCATAACGCATTAAGAAGATCAAATTGGGATTAGGCAAACAACCTAAACTCTGCAGAACTTGAGTTTGCAATTTTAGTAATATTCTTCAACAGGTTTTGTGCTGATTTTTGAAACTGCAGATAGAAAAAGGAGAGATCCCATGACCTGGCATCACACTGATGCCCACACAGATCCTCAGTGGGGCTGGGACATTCTCATATGCCACAGGCAGACCTCTGCAAGGAAGCTAGTGGACCTGGCTCAGAGCAACCATACAGCTGTTTTTGGCAAGGTCAGCGCAAACATTGGAAGGGACAGGACACTTCTGCTGGTGAGTTTTTCCAGGTGATGTGCTGGAAGCAGAGGAATGTGCTTTCAGGCGTCTTGGTTTCATGACAGGTTTGGTGTGGAGTTTGTTCCTCCTCTCCTTTCTTTCTCTTTCAGCCCATCTTCCAGACCTTGTCTCAGACTTCTGATCGGTTTCCTTGCCCAGCAAGTCCTCAACTTGTTCCTCCTGACCCCTCTTACAGTTTCCCTTTTCAGTCACTCCCATATGCAGGCTCCATGAAGCCAGTCTCAGTCCCTCCTGGTTCCTCATCTGCACTGCACTTCTTTCCCCTCTTGATCTAAGCAAACACTCTCCATCCCCATGTGCCCCTTCCTGCTCACTAGCAGGCCTGGCCTCCACTGCCTGAACAGCAGCCTGATGTAGTCAAGTCTCCAGGCATCTCCTGGTGTTCCTCTGCAGGCACGTAGCGGTGAGCTCAGTTCACACATTGAGCAGACATGGTGTCAAGCCAACTGGAAGTCCTGTGACTATGTTAGTATGGCACTGAGCCCGAGCTAATAAGCCCTGGTGAGAAGCCGGATATATTAGCTTGGGCTTAGCACCATGCTAATGCAGTCAGGCAGCTTTTGGATCAGAGCTGGCTTACATCCCACCTGCTTTTAACACCAAGCTTGCTTGTCTTCGTCTACAATAACCCATAAAGATAAATCCCTCAGTCTTGTACCAACCTTACTCTCAGTTTCCCTCCTCCCTGACACTGCTGATCTCCAGGCACAGTCTCTCCTCCTTCACAATCCCCTCAGGTTCTGCTCTTGTCCATAGGCTTTTAAAAACAACTCCTTTTGATGACTCTCTGGCCTCAGGACAGTTTTCAGTAAGCATGCATTGAGCAGGCACTCTTTTGCTCTCAGTTCAGGCCCTCAGTTCTTGACTCAACAGTGTTCACTCACTGAAGTGAGCCATGATGCCCTTCTACAGCTCCTGTGGGGGCTGCTCTGCTAGTGGTCTAGGTTGGCTTCAAGCTCAAAAGCGTTTCTCCTGGGCGTGGGAATCAGGGATGGAGATGGGGGTAGGACTGGTGTGTGTCCTGGTCTTCCTCTGACAAGACACTCAATGTTAAGTGAAGCACATGTGCAGATCCAGGAACTGAGAAGTCCTCCTGGCAGAGGGATGGTATTCAAGCATCCCTGACAACAGTGGCCACCACCCTCCCCTACCACATATGGTGTCCTTTCTCAGGCCACTGAACCTCTCATTCAAACTTCTACTCCAAAAAATGGGGGCTGTCATGGAGGAGATTACTTTTCAAAAGGAAAGTCATCCCACTCTTAATGTTAGCAACACAGTTTTTGACATGACCAAGTCATTGGAAATGGCAGAATAGATTTTTGGGAAAAATACAGCCTGATGAAAGTAAAATGTGAGAAACAAGTGAGTCACACATTTAGTATTTGGTAGATTTATCAGCACTTAAAAGTGGGATCTCCTAATGCAAATGGTCTGTCTGTCTTAGCAACAGGTCATGCTACCAGCTCCGTTCATACTAAAGATCAGTTTCCTGAGATTAATTTTAGGGTGATGTTATTGAACATTCTCCTTTGTAGATGAGATGATTACCATCACACATAAATTACATACAAAACATGTATAGATTTAAACCCTATTTCCTTGGCGTGATATTCCTCTTTCAGTGGCTCAGGCCAATGCACTGGAATTGTATTAACTATACAGTATAGTAAGGTTTGATAAAGACAGAGAGGATGTTCCTGTTCCAACAGGTTTACATAAAGTGCCACTTTTCATATACTAAATCCTAAAGGGCAAGAGAGACGACAAAAATGCTGATGCTACTATTTTTCATCACTGTTAAGATTTTAAAAATAAACAAGTGACTATCTAATTGCAGTAGTTTGCTGTAATAAAACAAGATCCTTAAGTGACTAATCTCACCACCAAATAGTAATAATAATAATAATTTTTAAATAGTTTTGAAAGATTAATTTGCACCAGTCTGTCCTAGCATACCCCTCATCTAAAATTATTAGCACTACGTGCACAAAAATCAGGCAACAGGGAGTAAGGGAAGCTTGCAATCAGACCTAATGTCTTCCCTTCCTCTCAGCCCCCAGTACAGGACAGCCACTTCCTTTCTACAAACGCTTCGCTCAGATCTGTACACAAGACAGGCCACATCTTCCGGGGAGGCTCAAAGCCTTTGCAGACACACAGTTGCCTTCAAAGCATCACTGGAAATCTGTGTGGGAAGACTCCAAAATATTAAAACCATCCTATACTCTTCTCTTCTAAGCCAACAACAAACCCCCTCTGAACTTATCTATCACTTCTCTGTTCAGTTTATTCTGGGCTGCAGAATAAACTTTCTG